GCATCCTAACAACATAATTCGTTCACATTAACCATTCTCGTCTGCGAATCGAACGAGGAGGAAGTTTCCCGTGCGATTTTTCCATATTCCCCCTCAAGTTGGCCAAACGATACCGAAAATATCGAGTCGAACGAGCGCGCGGTTCGAAGCGGCAAGGTCACGTATCGTAAAACCTTATTAAGCGTTAGTTTCTCCGTCGATGGTTGAACCCGTTCTCCGCGAGAGAGACGAGTCGAGTCGAACCGTCAACGTAGGCGGGCGGGATATATAGCCGACCGGCAGTATACCGGCACAGAGAGAGAGGTATACTGGTCGTGGGTCGTGGGTCGTGTGTCTATAGGGATTGCAGCGCCGCGGGCGCCGGCGCGAAACGTTCGCTCGCGAGACCACCTCCGCGTGGTGGGCTCGTGACGTCAGCTATCCTCAGTGTGCGGAGAGCGACCGCAGTGTACACCATCTCCACGTTTTGGCAAAGAAGGCAGAGGTCGTTACCGAGTGAACGAGTTTTCTCACGTCGTGTCACCCAGCTGGACAGACAGCACTGTTTATTGCGCGATCAACCCCCGGTCCGTCTATCGCGATTCCCGGGGTCTCATCAGTCGGATACTAAACTGGCAGTCCGTCTCGAACGCAACGTACACGAGCGTCACAGCCAGTCGGCTGTATCTCGAGCGTGCCGGGGACGATTCTGATCTCTTTACGCGAACGTAAAAGACAGCTTCCGTCGTTTCAACCGTCGATCGTTCCAGCAGAGTGTTCGGGTCCGCAGAGTTCCTCAATTAAACAAGGTGACGGATTCCCACCTTGATGAGTACGAAAACGTCGGCAGGGAGCACAGTCGGTAGCCACGCGGTCAACGCTCTCATCGGCGGTACCAGCATCTTCAACGGGGCTGACACCCAGCACGAGGCGCGTTTGATGCCCAGCTAGCGGACAGACGATCCTGAACGGACCGTACCGGTGTGTGGTGATAGTGCTGATCTATTGTTTGTTGTTGTTGTTGTTGTTATTCGTGTTCACCGACACACGTGTCCCACGGTGCCGCGAGTACACTGACTACGCGCGTACTCGCGAGATGAGATTATCCTCTTGAAAGGTAGATAGATGGAGTCGTCGCGACTATCAGCGTTCCCGGGATAGAAAGTTGTTCGTGGTGCGGTTTACACGATTTTCACCGGGGAACCGTTCTGCGTGGTCAGAAAGACGGTTTTACGACTTTGCGAGCTCGTCGGTGGAGTAGTCTCTGCGTGAGATTGTCGGCACGTGGATCCGCTATCCGGATCCGATCGTTTCTAGCTCACGTGGCCGTCCGAGTCCTATCGGCGGCGCGTTCCTGGTGCCGGTCTCTCGCGACACTCACGGATCTTTCCCGATCGAGGGTGCGTCTTTATGCTTGTTGAATTTTTACCAATATTCCGGGTCGACCGCGCGTAATCGATGAGTGTTTCGAGTGAGTGAGAATCATCGCCGAGGAGTCACTGTAAACGACACTTCCGTCCTGCTGTTTTGGAGTCGTGACGCGCGTGTATCAGTTTGATGTCGCAGATAGGTGGAAAGGGATGACGGTGCATCATCGTTGTGCTGCGGACACTGTTGACGAAGACGACGAAGACTCGTGAACTGCGAAGACGACGATCATCTGCTACGGGAGGCGTGTACCGTTTCGCGGTCTTGTGATACTTCGTAGGGTTTTTTGAGGATCCGCAAGCACGCGGAACCAAGCAAGCAGCGTGGAGCGCTCGGCGATCGTGTGGCCGCGCGACGCGGACCTCTACACTTATCAACCAGGTACAGAATTATCTTCCGAGAGATTCATTCGTGATTTCCGCTGGTAGATACCTTGCGTTCTCTAAGAAACTTAGAACATGAGACACCTAACATTCCGGATGAAATACTTCCGATAAGTAAACACCGTTTCGCTGTTTCAACGCTTCGGATTGACGATGATATTTAAGAATTGTACTCTGTCGACTATCTTCGAAGAAACACCAGTCCTCTTTGTGTATAACTAAGGATGAAATGAATCGTTAAGGCTGTCTTCAACACTTTTGCGAGTACGAATTGAAATGTATAGTGCAAGATCGATGTAGCTTGTACCGAGCATGTTAGAACGATTTTCATATTCCACGATTCGTTCGGATTTTCTGTCCTCTGGCTTTGCAATAAGATCACGACGGGACCGCGGTCTCCAAAAAGACGGCAAAGAAGTTGTTGCGGTATGTCGTGCCATTCTTCAGTGACTAGAGCTGCGAGCCTTCGCCGCTTCGAGGGTGCATTCTTGCACCACCATTGCCTCTACCGAGCATATTCCAAGTGTGCTCAATAGGATTCATATCCGGTGACAAAAGGCGTGCTATTTATCCATGACGTCGCGTGTACCCATCGTTTTTCTACGAGCACACATCTCGTGAAAGTCGGGAAGGCAGTTTGCCGTACGGATATCGCAAGCACGTGACACTGGTCGCGATGCTTTTCGTGCTGTTATTCTGTCGTTCAATAATGGAATCTCTAAAAATAGATGCACTCTTTAAGTGTTTACCTCGTAACAGCCTTTGGAATTTCTTCTCCAACTTTCTCGACGTTAACGGGGCACGAGAATAGTCCCTTAATATTTATAAACACAGTGCCATTCGGCGCAGCTTTGATATAATCTCGCTCACGCGAGTAAACGCTCGTCGGATTATGAAGATCGAGTGATTCTTCTAACCGATGGATTCTAACGAGATTCCTTTCACTCGATTCGTCGCTGTAAAGACAAACTCCACAGTCTGGACAAACAATCGCGTCACCCGTGTACGACTGTTGTGGCATTTGGTATGTGAAAGGAGCCCGGAAAACACGCAACGATAACCGAGAGTTATCGCTGCTATTTTCAATTTTATGCTTTCTTTTATAATATCCAATTCTGTTTTCCGCTGTACTTACCGTTTTGCTTCCATAAAGATAAGTGCCGTTGCACGCATTTCCGTTTTAAAGTTTCCCCGTCGCGGAGAAATGTATTTCAATCTGACGATAGAGCAGATTGTTTCACGAGAAGCGGCAACAGTGGCGGTGGCGGCAGCCGGGCAGAAGGGGACACAAATGAATCGTGGAGAAAGACGATTAAATTTTTGCGTGCTCCGCCGGGGTCGTCCACGGGTCCCGGTGCCACTTGAGTTTTGGTTTTGGCAGCGCTTCCAAGAGTATTTCCTCCCTGTATTTGCAATCGAGCAGGTTACAGCCTGACCCGAATCCTTAAGCCAGACCATGGTCACGGGACGCCGCGACGAGCAGGCACGTAGTAACCTACACGCCAGGCTGTGCCAGGAGCGTTTTCCTACCTCGGCTCTTTATTCTTTTCTTTTCCCTTAACCCTTGTCTAAAACTTTTCCCCTAGAAGAGGATCCCCCTTCGCTCCGGGTCCTGCGAGGATACGCTCGATATGCGAATACGGAGGATCCGATATTATACCACCAGTCGAACAATGCTCCTTATCTGCGTCGGATGTCGGAAAGATCTTCCTCGAAACGACGTATCCGCTAGCCGAAATTTCCATGCCGAAAAGAAAAATACCTCCTCGTTTTCCTGTTACGAGAGAGCAGATGTTGAAGTAAAAAATATACTCGAGTAGTCGTCGATGTATACTATGGCGAGAAAAAGTGTTCGTCTCAAGGTTGTGGTAAAAGTAATCTAAATCGTGACGATTGAATTGTAACAGTGGATTCGATCACAAATTATCTAACCTTCGATCAGCAACATCCGTAGTTCTTAACGCGAAATAACTAATCTGAAATTTTGGATCTTTGGAGAGAGACCTAGTTACTAATAACATTAACTTCCAATCGAATGAAGATCGTCGATCTTAAGCTGTATTCAGATTACGTTCCGCCGAGTTATAAAAGTAATTCTTCGGTTGGCCGATTTCAACCTCGATATTTAATTTTCCGAAGAGGAATCTATCCCGAGGAGATTCGATATCGCGGCTGACGTGCCGCGAAAGTATTCCATTTCCCGTTGTCCCGATAGCGAGATTTATTTACAGGCTCCTTTGTTCTGTTTTAACGTATTCCCGTATAACGCCCGGAGGGTTCCTTAGTATTCCGAACGCATTTCGGACGCGATGTTGGTAAAGAGTCGCACTTGTTGGCGTCCATGAACACGAGGACGTCGGACGTGGTGTGCAGAGAGAGGAATCGGTGTGCGGAGGTAGCAGGAGGCAGGGCCGAGGATCGCACTCGGAGGGACACTGGAAAGAGCGAAGCCAATGCACGGCGGTCAGCTCGGACGGTCCCCCGGGAGATTTCTGGACCGCAGTCCTAAATCAGGTTTCATTCCCTCGGCGAGTCTCCTCCGGCGCCTCAACCCCTCCGGCTCGTCGAACCTGCTCGCGATATAGCCGAACAAAGCGAACGGAACAGCTCGCAACAATTTCTTTTTTCTGCGCCCGGCAATTTTCTCCTACGTGCCGGATAGCATCGGGCGCAGAAGCGGAAAACAACCCGAAATAAGAAAATAGTCTAACAGCGTGAGATGCACGCGAGCGGCACGGCCGAGAGGGGGCCAAGCGAGCCGTGTAAATTCCCGCCGTTACGCTTTTCTAATACTTTTTTCCCCGAAATCGATAGGGTGAGATTGTCGCTGTAAGGGCGGAGGTGCGGTGCCTGTCGAAGTATCATATCGCGTGTGAACGTGCTAAGTCGAAGGTAACGAGTCGACGATAGGGGAAACAGGCCGAAGGGGACGATCGTTCGACCGAGAGATCTGCACTAGGCACATGCATTATCGTAAACGATATCGCCTTCAGCCAGACACTGGTTACACACATACACTTAGACGCTTTAACACGCCTCCCGGACAAGCGTCCGTGCGCCGCCGTTCGGTGTGTGCGGCAACGAGACGCGTTTAACGGAAGGATACCAGAGACGGAGTATACGAACAGATTTTGGCGATTCGTCGTCTGGTCCTCGGCAAACAACTCCGCTCGGCGCCTACCAGTCTTCGCCGTGACCCAGCGAGAGGCCACCGATCATCTACATATTTATAATTCCGCTATTGATACCTTTTATACGCGAACTTTTCCATAGTTCCGCTCTTTGTAGCGTGCATATTTTAATATGCATACGTACTGCGCGGTACCAGCACCGATCCCGGTACCAGCGATAGTTCTTTCTCGGCGAGAGTGTTATACTAGGCGTGTCTTTTCGGTGAGAGGAAATTTTTCAGTTTGTTCCACGTAATTATTTCGTATACATTCATTGCGTGGGTGGCGGCGTTTTTATGTACTTTAGTTTTTGCGTGTCACAATTCTCAGACGATGATTGTCCTATGTTGGTTTTGGGTTTCCACGGGATAGAATTTTAGGATCGATGATGTGGATTGAAATTTAGTAGTTGGTATGAGTGTAACTTTATTTGGAAATGAAATAAATGATATATTAATATTAATGTTAAACATTCGTCGGTGAGAGAAAGAGATCGCGAAGAAGACGACAATGTAAGCGGTGTTTTGTAATTGGAAGCCAGATAGGCTATGGATCTATGTAAGAAATAAGCTGAAAACATACAGTAAAATTTGTTTATTTGAGAATTTGTCTTCGAAAAATTAAGCTCGAATATCAAACGTGTATTCCATAGGTGAAAAGGAACGAATAGATGTAGCAGTGAATTATTTAATTGAAATTCTTTTCTTTGACAAGTTCACTTCGAACATGTTGTGTTGACACTTAACTAAACGCAAGAGTGCTTGGCAAACTTTCAAACTAGATTTCCTCGAAAATGAAGTTTCGAGCAGAAAAACTTTTTCCTCATTTCTGAATTTCTTTTGGAATTTCGTGTGGAATAACTTACTGTCGAAGTTATTCAAGTGCACGCATACTTCATAAAGTTTCAATCTTGATTTTCTTGTGAACGACGCTTGAAATGAAAAAGTTTTCTGTATATTTTCGACTTGCTTGTTTCTATTGAATGTCTCTCTTTCTGGATGAACTCTCGATTACAGGATATCTTGAATATCATCGAATATGTGAAAAAGGATAATCCAAAAGAAAAAAGAAAAATATAAAGAATACATACATCATTGCAATCAGTGTCTGTGGAAGAAAAGAGAATCTCTTGAAATTTCAGAAATAACGATATCCACAAGTTAATTAATTCGTTTGTTAACGTTATTTCTTCATGTTCAAAAGAGACCGTGGAAATGTTATTGCGTGTCCGGGAAGAACTTAAGAGATCCTTCTATCAGTGTGTCCGTTTTATTTAGAAATACCCATTCGAGTAATCAGGGCAATCTGATCGTAAACTCTTTTAATACTTCTGGGCTGTTTCCACTTTAAACTTCCGGTAATCTTCTCCAGAAGTTTCTCCGCGATTGTCAATGCTCGCTCTTATTTTCTTATTCAATCGGTACCGCTACTTCTCAATTGTAATTAAATGAGTCCAATGCAAAAATTATTACTCAATTATAATCTCAGCATAATTACTCACTCTTATAACTGGCTTTAAAAGCTGTACATATACATTCAATGTCACTACGTTGAAAGGAGATTAAACAAATCCTAAAGATTACTATTTACTCATGTACCAATATTACATTTTTCTATAATCCAATTTTAACCGTTGTTACATATAATATTCAGTGCCACTAAGTTACTGAAAAATAAAACAAACTTCAAACTTAGAAATCCCCCTCTACAGTCCCACTAATATTACACTTCGCATTTCCTGCGGAGCAATCAAATGTCCAATGGTTTACGAACGTTGCTGCGCATGCATAATGAAACAATGCAGGAGCATCGCCACAAATTATAATTT